AATAATATTAAATTTTTTTTTTATTTACCTAATAATCATAATAATAGTTTTAAAAATATATGAAAATAAACAAGTTATTTATTTAAAGTTACAGAATTTATAAAAATTAAATATTACAACTAAATTAAAGAGAGTCTAAGAACAATCAAAATAGTAATTGAAAACTAAAATAAAAATATTTTAAATGCAAACTTATTTGAGTATGAATTTTTTTAAACTAATATCTAAAGCTAAAAATTTAATTAATCTATCAAGTTTGTTAATTTTATTTTAGAAAATTTATTAAAAACTAAAAACCATGGTCATATTAAATGGTACATTAGAGAGTCTTTTAATTTAACACATGTTTCGATATTTATCTGGTTTCATTATTAAAATATAATATAAATATAGTCAATTTAACTAGTTTTTACATTTTATATATATGTATGGTTTCAATTTTTAGTTTGTTTGGTTTTAATTTCCAAAGTAAAAAATAATAATTTATTTAAAGAGTGTGTTGTGTTGTGTGTTGAATTAAAGGTATATCAATCACTGTCTAATTCATTAACATAGGAAAGGATATGCATATAACCTATTACTACAACTTTTCTTTACAACTTTTTCATGTTATTAAATGAATATGTTCATACAATATTTCAATAAAGTAAGGCCTGTAAGGGTTTGTTTAATTTGTGGCTTTAAAGGTGCATTAATTGCAAATTTTTCTTATTAATTTGTTTGAAAAAAGTACAAAAGTTAATTTTATTTTTAATAATAATGACATGTATACAATTTTAATAAGGTGATTGATAAAATTAAGACTAACTTTTTTTTTCCATAACAATTATTCTTTCTGTTTTAAAATAATTGTAATTTTTTAACTTTAAGATTGTTTCAAATTAATTGTGAAATTTTTCATTTTTTAAAGTAGACAAACATTTTTTTATTAGTTTAACTCTATCACTATCTATTTATTTTAATTAATTATTTTTCACGAAAAATATCAATGTATCTTTTAATTTTTTTAAGGATATTATAAATAAATACAAATAGTCTTTAAATTAGGAAAATAAATTTAAAAATAATAATTATTTAAAATAAAATAAAATAAAAAAAACTAAAATTGTAATTAATGAACCTTTAATCT